TGTGTAATAAAAAAAGTAACAAAAGTGTCCCTCGTGGGACCCGGCCATAGGAATGAATGGAATGTCCGATAAACCCCCAGCATTTTTTAATTTATTTAATTTTTTTTACTATATAAAATCTGACACAATCCAGAAAAGATGCATACCCAAACAAAGGGCTGAGACTGCAGAATGTCCCCAATGTCTTGATACAGTGTACCCAAAAGTCTATAAATCTTCAAATAAAACTCGAATTGCATTATATATGCAATATGCATTATATCATTTTAAACCACCATGCAAAATTTGATGGAGATTGGACAGAAACTGACACTGTAATACTTATAAAGGTTAAAAACAGTACATGTCTATGCTGCATTACCTGAAAGCACAAATACAACCACTAGATGGCAGCAAAGGATCAGTCATTGGCTCATTCTATCACTTATATAGTTCTTTTCTCAGGTTTTATTAGGTACTGACATTCAGATAGTTTAAAATCATTATTATTACGTTTAAAATCACATTTAGTCAAAGTTTAACACTTCATTTAAACAGACATATCAGTTTTGACAATTATGCCACATTATGATTAAATTTAAACCTGAAAAATGTTATAAACAGGACACTTCCAGTAAGCATTTTATTACCTGTAAGTTATTTCAAATATCTATATCTACAACATAATCTGTGTCTGTGTGTGTGAGCATGCTTAGCCTCTATTAAGTTATAGAAGCATTTTACTGTAAGTTATTTCAAATATCTATATCTACAACATAATCTGTGTCTGTGTGTGTGAGCATGCTTAGCCTCTATTAAGTTATAGTGTCTTAAGTAATATAGTTCAACCTTTTCATTACTCTGTGTGTGTGTGTGTGTGTGTGTGTCATCATATTCTCCATCATGGATGTGTCAGCCATACATTTCACGCTGGCTGAGACCCCTTACAGCATAGAAGCCGTGAAGGCCTTTAAGACCAATATGTGGGGGTGCTAAGAAAATAAATGGTATTGATGACGTCAGAGTTACTTCATAAAGAAATTTTTTTTAAATAAAAGCAGCTATGGTACACACCATATTCAACAGAAGTGTAGTTTTAATTTATATTTTGCCAACGAATAGGCAAATTCATCAAAACAGATATAATCTTAATACAAGTGACCATAAGACACCGGTGTGTACCATATTCATACAAAGGAAAGACTTCAGAACTGGAC